TCAAATTATAAGAAAAATTAGCTGCAACTCATCAACCCAAGCAACCATTTGCGACAAATACACATGACACAGTACATTATTTATTAAAATATTAACACGACACAAATGATCAGAAACAAATTATTTATAGCTGATACTGATACAGACAAGTATTAGCTTAGCTACAAGTGAAAGTCACCAAATGAGTCTTTATCATCACTTCATAAAATAATGTTGGCTTTAAATGACACATGCTATACCATATGATAAATCACTTATAATGCAGTAGTTGTAGCCTGTGTGACCTATTTTTTTGTTCACCCTGTGTGTGTCAAGCTGTGGCATACAGCCTTACTGCCTCCTTTGTTTTTGTTACTGTCATGACCAATTAACTCTGTCACTCCTTTCCCTCAATACCCTTGATTGGGAAAAAAATGTATGTTTCCAGAAGGGTCTACTCTGAGAGAGAAATGCTCTCTGGCGATTAAATGTCTAGACTTTCTGTTTGGCGGGTTCTGACTCCCCCACTATAAATATGATGGTCGACTGTGACCAGTAGAAGACTTTTAGAAGTCTTACCAGACATACAGGAGCCCTACAAGACTTACTAGAGTTTTCACTGTGTGTGTGTGGATAAATATTTATAACTTTCTAGTATTATACTAATTCCCTTGCTGTGCTGTAATGTAAGTTATCACAGTTTTCATTTCTGTGTATTTGATTTTGTACTTTCATATCAACTTAATAATTTAATTGATTAAAAATTTGAGTTTTTTTTTTATTTTCCATTCATAACAAGAATTATATAGCCTATTCCACAATTGTATTTCATTTCCATCTTTTCGATTTGGAAGACATTTTGGCTTACGTTTCAATTGATTTCTTTTTCATTTACTGCCAATTGTGAGAAAATTCTTGATACCAGTAAATATAAGGCAACTTAAGAATAAGTCGAATTTAAATAAATGTCCTTTTCATATTTATTACATCTCTCAAGTATATATTGGTCTACATGTGTGCAAATTTTCAAAGTGCTGTGTGTTTTACGAGAGACGCAATGTTTCAATGTGTGAGCAGTATGTTATAATAATAATAATAATAATAATAAAGTTCATTTCAAAAACACGCTTCATCCCCAAAGGCCCGAAGCGCGGTACAAAGTCAACAAAATACAAATCTATAATTTACCACATTTAAAACAAACGCAACACTACAAAAACTAATTACTAGCATACAATTGCAAAGTCTTTCTAGCCATTTCAACCCCAAGCAACACAGCCATTATGCATTAACTGGAAAATAAGGTTGACAATCATCCCAGAAGGTGTTTGCAAAATAGATGTGTCTTTAAATTGGTTTTATGTAGGTTGTTTGGCCCAACTTTGCTTGGATGTGACCGCACACCCTTTTTTAATGGCAGAAGATGCTGATACTTAATAAATATTCAATTATTAGCACTATTTACATCAAAATATTGGATAACTTGTTCTTTAGGATGAACTTAAAAAGCATTTAAATTTAAACAATAAATAATATTTTAATTTGAGGTTTAAAACCTGGTAGAGTCCATTATAATGAATTACCATATTTTACTGCTTACAGTGCTGTTGTCATGGGCAACCAATCAGTCATTTGCTTATGACTATACTATATATTCTCAGAGTCTCATTGATAATGAGATTGCCATATGCAAACAATGGTTAATAATTGGTCAGGGAAAGCTTAATTAAATAAATAACTCATTTGCAAAAGTTGAAAGATCAAAATAAGCAGTCCTTGACAGTATTATTTTTTTTAGTTTGATGCTCTGCCTTATTATAGTTAGAGACATCTAACATCCGGTAATATATATAATGGATTCTTTAGACTAGGTAAACAAAACGACTGTATCGTAAGTACCATATTTTATTTTTTGATAATGCATTGTAATTCATTCAGGTTGCAAATTAATTATAATTGCATAATGTTATTACTTTTTTAAATTATAACTTTAAAAAAAGCATCAATTTGAATCCTAAAAAAAAAAAGTTTAAAAAAAATTAGTTTAAAACAAGACTTAGACTAGAGACCGACAGAATTTCGGCTTCGGTTTCGGCGCCGAAAGTGGCCATTTTATCACTTTCGGCCAAGTTTCGGTTTCGGACGAAACTTAGAAGTTAACTTTCGGCATAATTTCGGTTTCGGTCGAAAGATAAAAGTTAACTTTCGGTTTTTCTTCGGTTTCGGCCGAAATTGACTCAGGTTTTCGGTCAATTAATACTCAGCGAAAGCGATATTTAACAACAAACTAAGTGACATTTAAAAACAAGTTAAGCGATCTTTGAGAACAAACTTAAACGATATTTAACAACAAACTAAACGACATTTATGAACAAACTAAACTACATTTAAAACAAACTAAGCGATCTTTAAGAACTATCTAAGCGATCTTTAATAACAAACTAAACGATCTTAAAGAACAAACTAAACGATTTTTAAGACCGAAATAAATGATCTTTAAGAACAAAACAAAGGATCTTTAATATTAAACTAAATGATTTATAAGAATAAAATAAGCGATCTTAACAGAAAACTAAATGTTTTTTAGGAAAAAACTAAACGATCTTAAGGAACAAAATCAATTATCTTTAACAACAAACTAAGCGATCTTTAACAACAAACTAAGCGATCTTTATGAACAAACTAAACGTTCTTTAAGAACAAATAAAGCGATCATTAACAAAAACTGGACGAACTTTAACAACAAACTAAGCTATCTTTAAGAACAAACTAAACGATCTTTAACAACAAACTAAGCGATCTTTAACAACAAACTAAGCGATCTTTATGAACAAACTAAACGTTCTTTAAGAACAAATAAAGCGATCATTAACAAAAAATGGACGAACTTTAACAACAAACTAAGCGATCTTTAACAACAAACTAAAAGATCTTTAACAACAAACTAAACGATCTTTAACAACAAACTAAGCGATCTTTAACAACAAACTAAGCTATCTTTAACAACAAACTAAAAGATCTTTAACAACAAACTAAACGATCTTTAACAACAAACTAAACGATCTTTGACAACAAACTAAACGATTTTTAAGAAAAAACTAAACCATCTTTAACAACAAACTAAGTGATCTTTAATAACAAACTAAGCGATCTTTAAGAACAAATTAAGTGATCTTTAAGATTAAACTTAGCGATATTTTAGAACAAACTAAGCGATCTTTATGAACAAACTCACCGATCTTTAAGAACAAACTAACTGATCAATAAAAACCAACTAAACGATCTTTAAAAACAAATTAAGCGATCTTTTAGAACCCCAATTTTTAGAGACCCGGTTTAAAAAAAAAAAATTTTTCATTTATTTCCCCCCCCCCCCCCCTCCAAACCCCAATTTTTGCCAAATTTTCTCCTACAATACTAATTTTAAAAAAATTGTAAAGCAATTTAAATTACTTTTATATTAAAATAGTAAAATCCAAAGTATTCATTAGATCAAGGGTCTCAAACTCAAATCGTCAGTGGGGGGTGGGGGGGCGCGCAGGAGGTAGTGTCTGAATGAGAGTGGGCCGCATCAAGTAATCCACACAAAAAAAGCGATTAAAACTGTTACAATCTGCTCAACCTTTATAAATAGCAGCAATAAAATCATTAAGGGTTCTCAAGAACTAGGATACACTTTCATCCACCTATTCACTGTTGAATACAAAAATATAATATAGAAACATTCTAAAAAATAATCGGAATTAGACTATTCGGATTTGGCTGAAACCGTCGCGGAGAGTTACGTTATAGATATGAGATATACTAAATCCACAATTTGGCAGAAAACAATAAAAATTTATTTTTGAGGGGGAAAAGGAAGGAAATATAACATGTGTTTTCACATAGCTTTGAGTTTGGGAATTATAGTCAGAATGGTACGTATTTTCACTGATTCACTGATTGTAATAACTGATAAATGCATACAAGTGCAAAATTTTTAATAGCTTGAAAATAAAGACTTGGACCATAACAAAAACCTATAAAACACATGGGACAGAAAGTTCTCCAGAAAATATTAGGACGAACACAAAGGATGAATATGGATGGAGAATACAAACCATCCAGGAATTGTTTAGCCTAAATTAATCAGGATTTTTCGCTAGTACTAGTAGTACTTAGTTAACTTAGTAGCAGCAGAAATAAAAAAAAGGGGTAGGCTACCGCTGGTCAGGACACTTAGTAAACTTAGTTAGACTTAGACTTAGAAAGAATGATAGGACAGAGTGAAAAGGGTGCATTACCGAAATCCCAGAGGAAAACGGCTTAAAGTTAAAGGCAGACCCTGACTTAGAAGAATGGATGATATTGATATGGAAAAAAATCTACAGCAGAGGGGAATCCAAGCATGAAAAAGCATAGGCCCTATGCAATGTTTCCTCTAAGGTTTGCTGGTTTGTGTGCAAATCATACAGTTGTCTGCAAAGTTTAACAGCATTAATTTTTTTTGTGTGCAAAATTTTGTGACAAACACACACTTAAATTAAATGGAAATTTGCTGCGCGAATACTCAAAAATAGCTGCGCTGTGTCTGTGAGATAGCCGCGCAGCTTAAAAGGAACATCGGCCCTATGCCTATAGTCTACAGCCTATAGTTTATATCATGATATAGTTATAGACTTATATTCTATATTCCTAGTAATAATAGTAGTATTAGTAATAGTTATGAAGTATGAGATTAGGTCTGAGTTAAAGGAAGTGGTGATGTAGGCCAAGCCCTACATGGGCTGTAGCGTGACAGGGATGGGTGGATTTTAAAAAAGGTGTATTTTACTTCATAACATACAGCATGCTATATTTACAACGACTTAAAGACGATACAAAGTAGATTTTAGTAGAGGTTGACAGGTAGCAGTATATCAAAGCCGCCATTGTATCCAATGGAAACAAAAATCACGCGTTAACGCGAGCGACGAGATTTTCTTTTTCTTAAACGGAAGTTTACAACACCTAAAGAATCGTTGTTTCGTCACAGTCAATTTTTAGTTAACTGATGAAATTTGCAATACTGAAATAGGTATGTGGGTTTACCGGTGTTTGCAATTAAATGACGTGGCCTTGATACTTTTTGAAAGGATATATAAGCTTATTTGATTATTCTTACGATTTTATGTGTACACAATCCTAAAATTTAGATTCATTCTTCTTCTCTTCCTGCTGACTGCTGTCCTGCTTCTATTTTATTGTTTTAGTCTTGGGGGCTACACTACACTCTCACACCCCTACAGTACAGTGTACAGGTAGGCCTACCGTATCTTTATATTCAAATAATAAATTACCATTATATTTTAAGTGATTTATTTATATTCCTAATCAGTCAGATGAATCTAATGACCTAGTTAGCAATGTGTAAGTGTAGGGTTACCATACGTGCTCAGTGCTCAGATTCGGATGAAAATCTTAATATCAAAATCATTTTACATTAGCTTTAACTTAAATAAGTGACAACTACACTAAAACTACAGGACTACTGTCCTTTGACGTCATAAATTTTGATTTGAAACGCCAATTTACTTTCGGCTGCTTAAACTAGGTACTTTGGCACAAAATTTAAATATTGTCAGATTGCCATGAATGATACATCATTTTAAAGGGCTAGCTATAAGCTTTACAACAACATCAATTTCATCTTTCTATCTTTTATAGAAATTGAGTTGTGATTTTTTTAAAACCCCTTCTTTATCTTAGTCTTAGTATTTAACTGAAAAAACGTGTGACCCACTTTACAAATTTCTGCCTTATTTTGCTCAAAACTTTTTGATTTTAAAAGATTAATGCTACCAAATTTTCAGGAGACATTCTCAATGCAATTCAATATACAACACAATAAACAACAAAACTTTTGTATAACATCAAGACTTTTATTTTTTATATATTTATTTTAGGATATGTTCAGAAAAAAGTGAACAGAAAAATTGGGAAAATCATTATTTAATCAGGAAAAAACGAAAAAAATAGCATGTTTATTGAATTTTAACTAATTTTATTATGCTTGTGTTAAATTTTTAATCAATTGTTATATTTATTAAAAGGTAAGTAAGTCTTTTTTTATGTATAAAATTTAACACATGCAATTATAAATAAAAATTACTCAATAAAATCATCCATGATGATGAGACTCAATTAAAAAAAGTTATTTGAATTTGATTTATTAAATAATTGTCTATGTACTGCTTTTCTATGTCCTAATAAAAACCTAATTACTACGATGATGTTGTTTGAGTCTTGTTTATTATTTTGATGTATTTTATAAAACTTTTATACTTAAACACAGATTCTCCACTTTTCAAATACAGTGTTGCAAAAAATTATGATTATGATTTTATTTTTAATAATTTATTATATTTAGTATTAATTAAGTATTATGAAACAAACCTGCGCATATAAAAAATGACGCAAAAACTGTTGTGGCCATTTTACATACCGCCCAGGGATGACTACGTTTTTTTTTTTTGCACTTTACGTCAAAGTTTTCTAATAATAAATTGTTTTGGTACCAGTAGAAGTAGAGTGCATATTTTTCCAAACACAGCGATAGCATGGTGTATTTTGTGACTGGGAACATATTTATACTTATGTATTGGTATGTACTTAATAGCTTATTATTTTGTAATGCAAACTTGACTTGGCATTGCATAGCGCTTTAGCACTATTGCTTTATTTATTCACAAACAGGAATAACCGTATTTTGTTAATGATAGTAATTTCCCAAAAAAGTTATGCATTTTACAGTGAAAATGAAAATGTCAGTTTTCACTAGTTATCCGCCCTCACAAAAAAAAATTGGGTTGGGGGAATTAACTCTTCTTATCAACTTAATATAAAGAAATAAAAATATGTTCATTATTATTCATCTTTAAAAGCCTTAGAACAATAATTGGTAAATGAATGAGGAACAATTTTACAATATTATTTATAAATTAATGAAGCCAAATAAATTAAAGAGTTTTTATTAATTTTACTTTGTGTTGTTGGGTGAATTTCAGACTAGTTTTGTCCTTTGATTTACATAAATAGTTATATAATAATATGTATCTTAAGTATCAATTTACGTTAATAAATTTTGAGTGGGATATCTACTCATTTTATCCATTTTTCTTTATTGAATCAATAATAGTTTGATAATAATAAAACTGTTATTCTCTCATCAGTGACATTACTCATACTACTAAAAATAATGTTAATGTTGCTTATAGAATACAAGTCTAAGTAGTAAGTACTAATTACAGTTATTATTATCCTATCTATGGATGGCTATAGAGTAATCTAGTGACAATAAATAAATAAGACTCAACATCATAATTTTCATAGTAATTATATTTTTAGTAGGACATAGTTAACATAGACATAGCGTAGACAAAATATTTAATATTTCTAAGGAAAAAAAAAATTTTTTTAAATATAGACACACAACTTGAATAATATTAAATACAAAATAGGAATTGTGTTTTTGCAGACCTCGATTTCCTTCCATTGTTATGAAGGAGCTAACATGGGATTCATAAACAAGACAAAGAAGTCTGTAAAGCAGTCTACTCAGACATGACAGCAGAACATCCTCATTACCTTTTAATTAAATACTTATACGCTATTATTAAAATATTAATATTAGTCTTATTTGGGATTATCTTATTATTTTAAAAAGTAATTTCATGCTTTCAAATTTATTTCTAAAAAAAATGCTTCTAATTACCTTTTATAAATATTAGCAGTGATATAAAATTTAAATGAAGCATATTCAACTTAAATTCAATGAACATTTTATTTCTTTTCATTTTGCCTCTTTAATTAATAATTTTCCAATTTTTTCTTTTCAGAATTTTTTTAACTGCCTTCAAATAAAATTATCAAAAATAAAAGTCTTGATGTTACATAAACGTTTTGTTATGAATTGTGTGGTTTATTGCTTTGAGAATGTCTCATAAAAATTTGTAAGCATTTAAAATAAAAAAAAGTTGTGGGCAAAATAAGACAGAAATTTGGAAAGTCTGTCACAAATTTTTACAATCAAATTCAAAGATAAATAAGGGGATATAAAAAAAATCTGAAAAAACTATAACTTCACTTCTATAAAAAATGGAATCATGAAATTGGTGTTTCCAAAGCTTATAACCATAGTAATGTGAATGTAGCTTATTTTATTATTGCCTATCCTATACACAAATTTGTGAGACCTAAAAAAGTTGTAGAACTCCTGTGAAAAAGCAGCTTTGATTGAGAGATGTCGGTTAGTGCACAGTTAGGTATTGATAGGTTGACTCTGGAGTGAATGGTTGTAGCTCTTTATGTGCACTAAGGTGTTATTGATTGTTGTTAGTCCTTCGCATGCGAAGATGACCAAAGCTATATCCCACTGGGAGTATGCCTGTGGCCTGCAGTAGCTTTGCCGCACATGGGGCACACATTGTTTTGGTTCCTAGTAGATTTGAGTCGATTCTGCTTTTCCTTGGTGTGAGCGGTCTGCTTGTTCTCTGAGAAATCTGCTCCAAAAGTGAGCCTGCCACGCCAGTTTGTATAATACAGTTAGGTAGACTGTAGATAACTTGGCTAGGCCTTAAAAATACCCAATGTCATCGATAGACATCATGTCATCGACATTAAATTTAAATAAAATTCAATAAGTTAAATTTCTGATGTCAAAATCAAGCTTTGACCTGGCTTGACAAATTTACAATTTAAGATCCAACATATCCTAATTGATGAGTTTACTCCTAATACTAGTTGTACTATACTTAATTTATTCAATCAGTCATAGTTTCAACACAAATAATTTCAAAATTAGGCCTAGGCCTTAAATTGAAAATATGCAGTCACTGTTGACCAATTTGGATAAAACATTTACAGTGCCCTGTTGTCAGTGCTTACCTTTAGACCTTACTTACATTCTTAAACCTAAGGCAAAGGTGATACAAAACATCTTTTCCTTTTTAATTAAAATAAATTTTTTTGTAGAACTGCAATGTTCACCAATTAAATTCCAACTTTAACTGACTTGAAATAATTTCATGCATATTTTTTAAAATTGTTTCAGCAATCCGGCGTGTAATTTTCTTCCCTTCACAATGACATTGCAATGGACATTTGTGGCCTCTGTGCTCTATGTTGAGATTTTCCTCGTCGCTTTTCTCATGTTGCCCTTCATATCACCTAAAACGTAAGTCTGACATGTTAAAATCATTTATTGCAATAACTACAGTATCTATTTTAATACAATTTGGTCAGTGATGAAAGGTAAAAGGTCTTAGGAGTGCAAATGCTGGTCCTGAGGTTGTCAAAATACAGCTGTTTATCTCTCCACAATTTTAGAGAACATTCGATGGAAAGATGCAGTGTATCACATTAAAAGTGCCCTTGTGATTTATTTAAGCAGCTAAGTGTTTGTTTGGTGATTTTCACTATTGGCTTACATTCCTTTGTTCTTTCTATGTTATTGTAAGTTACCTGTAAATGTTGTCTTTTGTCTCTGTGTTTTGAATATGCACATCCGGAAGGCTCTGGCATTTGCTTCTTCGTTGATTTTAAATGGCTTGCTGAGACCATGGTTTAGTTAAAATTATTTTTGTAACTTTTATAACTGTAGGTCATATGCTTAACATATTTAAAATTAATTTGTTGTTAAAGTTAATTCAACTTTGTTCTTCTTTTTATTTACAGATGGCAAAAGTTGTTCCGCTCTCGACTTGCTTCATCACTTTCAACATATTCAAATATCTATTTCAACATATTTATTGCTATTTTGCTGTTATTGTTTGCTGGTGAGTGGATTATAAATGTTAACATTTTAGCCGTTACTTATAAAAATGGATTGATGATAATTGTTTTACCCTGAAACTATGTTGATACGTTTATACCATTGCAAGTCATTAGTTTGATAATTTGACCACATTAAATTGTCTTGAATAGTCTTTTAAAAAATTAAGAATAGTGCATCTAATAACAAAAGATATTCAAATTATTACTTTTTGCTTTGAGAGTAGCATTCCTTGAAGCAATATTTAACCTTATGACCACTGATGGTCAATATTATAGGCGGGCGGGCTATAAAAGTAACGGGAAGGGGGAAAATTATTCAAATGTTATAATCTAAACTCATTGAAATGAATTGATCCTTCTACTCTTAACATAACAATGGGATTTTTTCATGAATTAGGAACAATTTTTAGGAGAAAACGTAGTGGGTTATGTCCTTCACTTTAAAATTATAGGTCGTAAAATACAGTTTGTATTGTAAATGCTTCCTTAACTTTAGTAGTTTCATTTTTTTTCCATGTGTTGTTTAGGCTTATCTCATCACAAATCCTTTTTCAAACATAACAGTTAAAATCCATTACCAAATTTATAAACAATTTACACCATTTAACTATTTGTAAAACTAGGCTTTAAGTTAAACATTTTAATGGAAGTTTTCCAATTTATCAGAATCATTGCGTGAGATGATGAAGTATTCTGACTCGCATTCTCCAAAGGCTGGAAAGAGCTCTCCTGGAGCTGAAACTCTTCAGCATATGAAACTATTCCGTGCACAGAGAAATTTTTACATTTCAGGCTTTGCACTTTTTTTATGGTTGTGAGTAGCATGTAGATTTGCTGTAGTTGGGTTCAGCATGTAGAGTAATTTTTCTTCCCCTCCTCTCAGAATCTGTGCGGGAGACATGGAAATATTCTGAGCCGCTAGACTCTGAGGAGCTAAGGAAATTCCCAGAGGCAGAGAATCTTTACCATATGAAGCTATTTCGTGCTCAAAGGAACATGTACATAGCTGGATTTGCTTTGTTTCTTTGGTTGTAAGTTATTAGAATAATTGAATTAAGTACACTTTAAAGGGGAAATGAAGACTAATAGAAAAATAGTCTTATTGTTGATAAATACAATGTAGATTTCAACTTCAATATCTGAAATATATTTTTAATGACCAAATTTGCAATACCTTTTAGGATTTTAAAAAAAAAAATCAAAGCAATTCTATGTATGTACATTACATTTAACTTGTTCCTCTAATACTAATACTACACTAATAGCAAAACTGTTTAAAAATAATTGTTTAATCATACAATAAGTAAATTAAATGTTCAAAATAATGCTTAGCCATAGTGATGCTTCTTAACTGTTAATTAAATTACTAATATTTAAGAAGGTTCTCCTTACTCAAAACAAAATTTACCAAACCTTTACTTTCATAGTTTTTTATTTTAAGTAAAATTTCTGGTAAATATTTGGTGTAGAAATTAATTCATGAATGTTTCAAGAGAAAATTGTGCAAATTGTTGAGAAACATCACCATGAATATATGTTGAATGTAAGCTTAGCTTGTCTATCGTATGCACTCCTTCTTTAGCAAACCTTTTTTTTTTTTAATTAAAAATTTCATGGAAATAAGTCAGGTGGTAGGCTTATTGGTGGGTCTTTGAAGCTTTTTATAATTTTCTCTAGGTACATTGATTCTGTTTTAAAGAAAACAATGAAGAGAATAAGTAATTAACGGAAGTCAAAATGAAGCCGTTTTCAAAATTTGATCACACGTTTTGTCATTTTGCAACTGTGTGCTTAGAATGTATCAAAGTACCTGTATTGATTAAAATTGTTATTTATAGATTCGCAGAGATCCTGGTTGGGGGGGGGGAGCAATTTTCAGTATGGTTACCATATATACCTATAGACATTTGAAGCATGTATCACTGCTATACATAATACTGTATTTAGAATGTATTAAAGTAAATTTATTGATTAAAATTGTTATTTATAGATTCGCAGAGATCCTGGTTGGGGGGGGGGGGAGCAATTTTCAGTATGGTTACCATATATACCTATAGACATTTGAAGCATGTATCACTGCTATACATAATACTGTATTTTATTAGGTTTTAAGTCTATTTACTTTTTTTTTTTAATTTAAAGTTTGGATTTAAAAAAATATATTAAAATTTAAGAGTGTATAATTGTTTTACTGTTATAGTTACATATATATAGGCTTATGAATTAACTAATTTTTATGGTAAACTATTTCGACTGATTTCTTTAAGTTAATTGCTTCATATTTTGTTTTAAAAAATACTTTTCTTAACCAGCATCTTATATTATAAATATTATTTATATCACCAAAAATTAATTAGTTTTTCCCCTTTTATACCTAGCAAGTTGCCATTTCATTCAAATAAAAATATATAAATGTTTGAATAAATAGAAGTGTCCTTGTCTTATGCCAGTACTAAGCTTGTAAAAGTTAAAAGTGTCATCTTGTTTATCATGCATTTCTATATATTTTTTTTTTAAATCATGAAACTAATTTAGTTTCTTACATTATAATATATTTCACTCTGTTATAGTTTTAGATAATAAATATTAAATTATCAGCTATGCATTTCTTGGAAAAATAACTTAATATTATAGCAATATTTATCCGGTAGAAATTTGATGAATATAAGTAAAACCTTCATGATTTTCTAAATGGTAATGTAGTTATTTTATTTTTTTTACTTGAAGTGTCCTGAGACGCCTGGTTATTCTGATTGCCTCTGAAGCCACTCTCATGGCACAAAGTGAAGCCAGCATGAAACAAGCTGAAAGTGCTACCGCCGCCGCCAAACACTTCATGGAAGAAAAGGGAAGTCTGGATGACAACAAAAAGGTTGGGATTTATTTAGAGAACTGAAATTGAATGGAGTGGAAAACTTCACTCTTAGATAAGCAAAAGACCCATGTCCCATTTTTTAAAAATATGTTTATCTTTAGAATTGACCTTGATACTTTTTGGTTTGTCCCACTTTCTTCCTTTGGAGATTCTTTACTTCTAGTGTGACAGTGCAAAGTAAATAGGAGGATAAGCAGTTAACATGTTTACAAGTATTTGTTTTCCTTCAAGTTCATGTGAACTTCAATCATGTTTTCCTCCCTCACAGAATACAGTTACAGAGGAGAAGGACCAGTCACATGTGGAGAAAGAGCTTAATCAAACACAAGCAGAACTGGAAAAAACCAAAGAAGAACTGTACAGGGCCAAAGTAGATCTGTCCTCCATTAAGAAGCAAGCTGAAAGCACCAGCCAGGAGTACGATAGACTTTCTGAGGAGTATTCAAGAGTTCAGGTTAGTGTTTTATTATAGTTTTAAAGTAGTCTTTGTATGAGTTTTTACAGAGACATTTCTGCCATTAAAATGAGGTCTATTTATTTATGTGGCATTAAAAATTACCATATTTTAACAAACTTAGCGATCGCCCCAATGCAGCTGTTTTAACTCATTCCTCCGTTTTGCAATTGATTTACATTTGTAAAATATTTTTTAAACTGCTAAATATTTTATTAATTAATATTAATTTATTACATTTAAATGCATCTAGAAATGAATAAGGTTTAATAAAAAATATAACATTATCCCCTGACAAAATAATGAGCAATGACCAAAAAAATCGATTTTAGCACCTCGGAGGAAAACATGCTAAATATAGACAAACAGTACTAAAGCACACATAGAGCAAAAGTGAAACAAGATACTAAAAACTTCCTGTTTTTAAATTAAAATCACATCCTCGCCGGAAGTCTTGAGAGACATGAGAGTTTGTTTTTATTTTTAATACAAATGTGAGAGATGTGTCGCTATGAGTCGGGAGGCATTTAGACACATCCGTTTGAACCCGGAATGAATCATGAATTTGAAACCACGGAGAATGAGTTTAAAAAAATAAATTCATGATACATATTATTATTTTTTTTTTTTCACTATTGTGTCATTTCAGAAAAAGTTGTCAATACTGGAAGGATCAGATTCAGAGGATAAAAAAGGCAAATAAATGAAATGTGGTGGTGATATCGTGATGGAAAATCTGCTGGGGTGGAGTTTTTGGCTCTAAATCTGCAAAAGAGAAATAAGTGGATTTTGATCTATTTTTATTTCTTCTTCTATTGACCATCTTTCAATTACACTGTTTTTATAGCATTTATCAATTTTAAGACATGCATTCATTAACCATGTTTATTTCTATAACTCATCAGTAACACAATCTGGCTTAGTAGCAGTCTAGTGTGATTCTCAATTAATTGTTGCTTTTGATTCATTAATTACAAAAGTTGAACCATTTCATTCTGGCACACACCTGCTCAACACACTTCATCTCACCTCCACCAACATAAATTTGATCAGATCATTTCCTTACCTTTAGTATTCTGCCTAAGGCTACTTTGAGATATTTGGCTCAAGGTATCCGGGGATAAAATTTACTTTTAAAGATGTAAGTAAGGAAGCTTTCAGGATGTTTATTTAATGAGGCCCAGTCATTTTAAGATACAGAAAAGCTTTGTTACCCATCTCCTATCTGCCAGTTGGTACGATATATCTACATTTTAATTTCTCATTCCAAATAATTATCTATTTAAAATCTAAAGAGAATTTCTGTGAGATCAAAGCATTTAAATGGAGAAGTATTTTTTTTAAAAATTGCATTGACAGTTTTATGTCATTTTTAATAATAGAAAGAGTATTCACAGAATTCTTTAAAAAATAATGAAAACATGTTTTAACAATTGTCTTGTAATCATAATAAGAAAGCCTGTATAATTAATGGGACCTTTGTTTAGACAGATTTCCATTAAAAAAAAAAAAAAAGACTGCATTGTAAAATGTGTGCCTTCATAAACTTCATTTGTTTATTTCTTTTTTAATAATAGAAAGAGTATTCACAGAATTCTTTAAAAAATAATGAAAACATGTTTTAACAATTGTTTTGTAATCATAAAAAGAAAGCCTGTATAATTAATGGGACCTTTGTTTAGACAGATTTCCATTAAAAAAAAAAAAAAAGACTGCATTGTAAAATGTGTGCCTTCATAAACTTCATTTGTTTATTTCTTGTCCAGTCTGTTGTGTATGATGCACAAAAGCCATCATACCCCTGTTACTGTGTTCGTTATTAAATGTTATGCTGCAAAAATAAAGTTTTAAGTGAAATGTTCTTTATTCATTACAGTTGTGTGGGATGTGCTTTTAACTTTTTCTTTTTTTTTAAAAAAATAAAATGCAACCTAATTTTTTTTTTTATATTTGAAGATAAAGATTTTCAAAACTTGAGAAATAGTTTTTGTTAGATTTTTTTGTTTAATTATTTATGTTGAGTTTTGTTCATCTAGATTCCAACCTCTGTTAGTTATTATTGGAAAAGGCAATTGACATTTGGCATTGTAATGAACTTCTTACTTTTATAACATTTAATATTGAATTTCTAGTCTAGTTGTTGACTTAATAATGTCTTTCAAAACTTGTAAACCCAATTAGTTTTAGCTAAAAATTATATGTATACCTATTTTTTTTTTTTTCATAATAAAATTTGTTTTATTTGATGGTAGCTTCTCTAGCTATTCTGCTAAATAACAATTATCTCTTATTTTTAATATATGTACTATTTATATCAGCTGCTGTATTGATAGGTATACACCATGTTTGTCAGAACAGCTGCTGTACTGATAGGTATACACCATGTTTGTCAGAAAAGCTGCTGTACTGATAGGTATACACCATGTTTGTCAGAAAAGCTGCTGTACTGATAGGTATACACCATGTTTGTTTTTGTCCAAGCTCAGTGACTGGTAAGGATTAAAAGAAATACAAAAATTATCCACTGGGATCTGTTGGTTAAAAGATAGTTGAATTAACAAAGTGGTTGATGTGTTATGAACAGTATACAGTGAGTAGATTCAAATTCAATAGCCCGTTTGTTATCACTGGAAGGATAAATCAGGCATTCATACTGGTAACTTTAGTAAGAAAACATCATAATCAATGCTTCTGTGATTGTGCAATGAGATTTCTTAAAACTATCAATATCAAGTTACAAGATATTGGCCCAATTCGAATGTCATTCAGTTTGTTATATTATACTTAAATATTGAACATACCCTCTATCAATAGATCAGGTTTACTAACATCAAAATTTGTATCATAAATTCAGCTATAATTTCAAAGGTCCACTCAGCTTGGCAAGGTGTTGTATAGTTAACAGAATGTGAATAAAGTTGTGCAAGTTTCTGCCCTGAATGCATTGGTTCATAACATCTCCATGTTGATACAATAAATCAGTATAAAGGAATGTCTATGCACATGTAGTGTGACATCAAAGGTCCATGTATTATGATGTATATGTAGTGGGATATCATATGTCAATGAATATGTAGTGGGGCATCATAGGTCCATGAATATGTAGTGGGGCATCATAGGTCCATGAATATGTAGTGGGATATCATATGTCAATGAATATGTAGTGGGGCATCATAGGTCCATGAATATGTAATGGGACATGTATGTGGTACTGATACAATTAAACACACATCTAGTGTCCATGCTAATGTGCTCTATCATCCCGGGTGGAGCTATTGGTAGGTTTATTGTCCATATTGGTGTAATGATTTTTATTAAGACTTGTGAATCTAAAGTAGAATCAGTATATTCTAGATCACGGGTGGACAAAATTTTTGTGCAGAGGGCCGCATTCGCAATTGTAAAGCTATTGGGGGACCACATGTATATCATGTCCAATTTTTACATGTGGATAAACATTTCTCTATATTAAAATCGATATCGGTAAATTCGCAGGTTAGCATGACATGACAAAAGTCAAGGACTGTTTTAAAAAATTGGAAAGAAAGTTTATCAAAATGTTAAAACAATCCTAACGGTGCATGAAATTCTGTAAAATTCAACAACATAACTTAATAATTTAATTTATATTTCTATATGCCTGCGAGGACCGCATAATATCAGTTGCCGGGCCGCATGCGGGCCGTAGTTTTCCCAACCCTGTTCAAGATTCATTGTTTCAGTCTTTCACTTAGTAATGGTTAAAGAATTGATGTTGCTTCACCACATACACAAATCTCATACTCTCCCCTCCCTACATTCAAACTCACAATAATAAAAACTACTGATCAATGCAACACCATGGAATTTACTTATGGATACCGTTACATGTTTTTTATTTCACTACACAAAGAACATGTTGAACACATTATTTGACTTAAGTACGGTACATTTGAATCAATACATAATACTTATTATTACTCTGGAACTGTGGCATGAATGTTCACAATGATAAAAATAGTAAACTGTGCATAACATGTTAAATTGATCAAGGTTAGGAGCGTTGTGTCCCATTGAATTCATAGATAGAGGATTGCTTTTCACGATTAATAGTGTCCCCAGGTTTTGAGCAGGTTCCACAGGACGGTTCCCGGACAGTCCGTCTGATTGACGTCTCGGTGACCCCTGAGTTTGTAAGCCGTGCTGATCTTCCCGCTGGACACGCCGCACGCTATCATCTGCCTGGCCCTCTGGATCTGAATGTCAGGGGGAGCCTTGGTGGAGAAACTTCCAATAAAGCAGAAGGCTGGACAGAGGAATACGTTGAATTGAAGAAACTGGGCAATACTGCTTAAACTTAGTTATTCGACCATTTCGAGTAGGGCTGCAGACATTTTTTTTTTAATTTGAAGACCCGGGTCCGAGAAGTTAGAGGTTGGGATTAAAATTTGTGCAAAGCACTTAAATGTACCCCGATATCACAAAAAGTTATTCAACGGTAACCAATGTTCCAAAGATAAGCTAAGCGCCTGTGTTGTTTGGAAATGTTTCGAATGTCTTAGTCTCAAGTACCGTAGCCTTAAAGCAGTCGATACTTCCTAGTATAGTTTAGTATAAACACTGCTTCAACTATTCAGTGACGTAAGCTTAGGCCGACTACAGTATCCGTGCTCCAGGCCTTGATTTGATTAATACTTAATTAGTTTTTTGTTTTTTTTAATCAAATAAAAAAAAATATCATGAATGTAACCTACCAAGCCCGACCGAGTTGTAGCCCTCTGTGTGAGCTCCCACTTTGTCCCAGCCTCGACCTTCGAACACAGAGCCGTCGCCACCAATGAGAAAACTGTAGCCGATGTCACTCCAGCCTACCAGTCAGAGCAAGCAAGCCGTTAGGCTTCATTAACATTCTGATTTTTCATAAACAACATTGGTACTTATGGATAATGGTATGTAGTGTCTCGCCAAGAGTGGCCGAGCTTTTTGTTGCCCCATCCTGGCAAAAAAAACTGCTGTTATGCACACACAAAAAAAAAGCCGCCCCTATATATATATACAGGGTGGGCCAATAAAAGTGAGAACATATCGTAAAATCTAGGGCAACGTTTCATTGACAGAAGCATAAACGAGTGGCGTCGATGCTTGGAAAAAGTCGTTGAGAAGCAAGGAGGACACATTGAACATGATTTCTGATTAGCTAAATATTTTGCACACAAAAATTCGATGAAGAATTATCATTAATTAAATTATATTTTGAAATAACTCATATGCTACGAGATGTTCTCACTTTTATTGGCCCACCTTGTGTATATATAAATATATATAAATATAAAGTAACGCCAACTAATTTCTAAGAGATCAACAGAGTATAGATTATGAAAATGAAATGCATTTAAATGTAAACCTTGTTGATGCTTTACCTTGGATGATTAAAGAACCTCACTGTCAACAGCACCGGGTTCTATATTCAAGGGTCGTTTTCATGAAAAAGATATGTAGACCTATTTCTAAAAAACCTTCTCTTTTTTTTTCCTTTTTTGGGGCTGGCTGGGTGTGGGGCTCAGGGCGCCAAAATCCGGGCATTGTCCCGGGTGCTGCTTTTGACTGCCGCCGCCCTGATATCAAAGTTATACGAAAGGGGTTGGGTGAGTGAGGATCCCCCCTAAAAGGCGCATTGAGAGAACCTTCCCAAAACTCATCCACTCACCACCACTCGCCTCACATCAAATAGCGCCAGTAGGCTACATGTACACACACACAAAAACGACGTTCAAAATTACCGCACCAGCCACAAAGATCGTTTCACTTCAATGAACGCCATTGAGCCAGCGGTTAAAAATTGTACATTACAATTACAATAAATGTTAAATTGAGATGGCAAAGATTTAGTTCATCATAAAAATCATTAAAAATCAGCCGAGTGACAAACGACTTACCATTGTGATCCATGTGATAATTTTGGAACCCGCGGACTTGGCTGGCGCACGCTGATTGGCTGAAACACTCGGAACTCTCTGCGTGGTGAATGAAGGCGTACTGGACGGGGTGGGTGAGGTAGGAAATGGACTTTGGTGCCCTCGCCCCCCATTCACTGCGGGTTACGATATGGGGGCAACCACCGGGTACAGCTGAAACAAATCACAAATATTATTTTTAATGGTACGCATATATTTTGACAGACTCGCTTGTGCGCTAATTGTCCCAATACGTGGATTAAATTAAATAAAACATTGCCCTTCACTGCCTAAGCAAAATAATAACAGTGATAATACCAATAAAGTAGGAACTACAACGCCCTTGTCCCACACACCTAGCCCCCCAGTGCATACATCTCACTGACATAACATCATGGCCGGATGCCAAATATCCTTTGTCTATCTCTCTGTGTCCTAAACGGATTAAATATTCAGTATGTACTCACTTCCGGCTCCAGCCTCACACTTGGCAGCAGCTGACGCCACCAGGTAGTCACCGGCCACCCAAACCCTCTGCCAAAAAGATAAGATGTGGTGTCAATAGGTTAATACAGTTTCAGCTAAATAAGCTCATGAACAATAAGATGATCATAATCTGGTTTACCTGATTATGGAAGGTGATCTCAAACCACGTGTGCCCTTCCGCTGTGAGAATACCACCATAGATTTTACCACAGTCGTTGGCATTAAGGGTGGCCAATATGGCGGCAGATGTTGATCCTGAGGGTGGTGGGGTTTGGGAGGGGGGGAGAAATGTAAAGTGAGTTAAATTTTTTGGTTTAGTGGAAGGTTCGTTGTTGAATTAGGGCTGTGGGTTTAGCTTTACGTCATGTAAAGTTGATGGATAGTTTAGCTTTACGTCATGTAAAGTTGATGGATAGTTTAGCTTTACGTCATGTAAAGTTGATGGATAGTTTAGCTTTACGTCATGTAAAGATGATGGATAGTTTAGCTTTACGTCATGTAAAGTTGATGGATAGTTTAGCTTTCATCTGACATTGCAATCCCGAATAAGATTCCAATAAAAAAAATGCCCATCATATCGTGTGTGCATTCCTACTAACTAACCCACATATTCTGGTGAAGGTCTGAGATTACTCTCTTATGACTCCGGCTAGTAAATTGGCTTATACCAACATCTGTTGAGCTGAGTCATACAACATTTTCCTCACAAAGGGTCCTCCAACTACCCTGGCTTCCCCTGGGAGATCTAGTGAGGGACATTCAGTCAACAGGTGCTCTAGGGTCTCCGGGGCCATGCTGCAGTGCCGACAGGTAGGATTCCTGTTGTTAACCAGCCGCCAGAAGTATGTGCCAACAGAGCAGTGCTCGGTGCGCATCTGCGTCACTAAGCTCTGCTGTCTGCGGCCTAACCCCCACCATGGGTCTTGTTTGCTAGGAGGGGGCAAGTTTGAAAAGACTCCTCTGGCCGTCGTGGTGTCTGCCCATTGCCTGTACCACTTCGTTCTGAAATGGTCCGCCAGCCAATTTTTAATTCCCAAGTAAGTTATTGGTACTTCTGGCGGAGGCTGGGCAGCCCCGGTTTTTGCCAGAGTGTCTGTTCTCTCATCAATGATGACGTCGACCAAATTTGTGGTACCCTGTCTCTTCTCCAAGATGTCGAGAGCAGATCTTGAGTCCGAGCAGACGACTACATCGAGCCTCACAAGCTCCGCCCCCTTCATTGTTTCATGTACTCTCTCTAAGGCCCTGTGTATAGCCATAAGCTCCGTATCAAAATTTGATGCTGCAGTCCCACTGGGTCCCGAGAGCTCTTCTGTTGGTGGTCCACGTGCTGGGTACAGTATCAGCGCACCATACCCAGCAGTTCTCTCTTTACATGGCATTCCTACTAAATTGGCCTCTGGCTGCCACTGCATCCATTTGTCAAGGTGAAATCTTTTTCTTCATTCTCTGTACACCAATCTAAGTGATAGCAATAGTGTTTTTTTTTTCCACAACAAGAATCAACAAAGACCTGGAACATGACTACATTTCATTCATTCATTGTTATGAAAAGTTGGTAATGTATGTGTTTTTTTATTCGTGTTCCATAAAAAATTCCAACTTTCAGTTCCTCTGTGATAAGTAAATATTCGATTAGCATTAAATAACGTTTTTTTTTTTTTTCAAAGCAAACAAAACTGTACTATCTACCCCTTAGTCTGGAGGAAAGCATTCGTGGACTATAGCAATTGCTCCATGCAAGTTTTCCATTTATTTATGATGAGTCCACGTCCTACGTGGCACCAAAAACATAATATATGTTCTTTTTTTTCTTTCTCAAACTCACTATATATTTCCTACATTTTTAAAAATCAAATCTATGTGCAGCTTTTTTAACAGATCAGGCTGGAAAGTCTTGAAAATTAAAATGTGTATATTCTAATAATATCATGATTGGCCATTCAAATATTTTTGGCATAATAAGTTAAGAAAGCAGAATAAAGTAGATTTTTTCAAGTGAACTTAAAATTTCTATGCCAGTGCTTATTATAAAAAACAAATAGGCAAATGTCTTAAGAGGCACACACACATAATGCTAGAAATTTAATTACATACATTTCCAATTTCAATAATGTTGTTTTTTTTCTACGATATCCCAATTCAACAAACAAGACCTAATACGGCTTATATAGAGGAAACCAACTTGTTATAAAATAAACTCAACAATATCTAAACAACTAGAAATATTACGAACAAAAAAAACAATAACTTATAACAACAACAAAAAACCCGATGCAATTTTCGTAATGAACGCCTAAAATATCTTTAGGAGCCGACCTAAAGCTATCGGCACCAAGAAGAACTATTTTGTTGTTGGCCTGTGTAATCAATGTTGAAATTTAAATTATTTTAAGCTTTCGATCCATTTTTTATATAAATAAATTGACCCAATACATGAATATAAATTAATAGATCGATTCATTCATTATGTATGACCGTCTTTCTCAAATTTGATTGTGTGGCTTTTAAATTTTTTTTAATGATTTACAATTCCATCAATACGGCTTCTGGTCGAAAACGGACAACAGAGGAGAGTTCTGAAAGGATTTCTGTATAAATCTTTGGAGGTGTCCGGATTATCCTGGTGATTAAAATAAAACTAGTTCCCGCTTCAGCCCCATTGACACCCTCGGCACCGACCCTAATATTATTATATAGCTCAGGTACTTTTTACGCCCCAAAAAACTCTGCGCCCTTAGGCACCACCCCTCGCCATGGCAATAATTCTGGAACTGGGTTAAGAAATGACGTAGCTAACGGACTCACCCGAGGCTCTGCCACTGACCGTTGTTGTAGCACAAACGCAATCGCCGGCCTTCACTGTTGCTTTATCAAGGGCGCCGTTGACAACACACACCGTCAGCATAAAGCACGCCAACACCAACCCTTGCATGGTGGCTATAATATCAGCTCCGTTGCCCGGAAACTTTCGCTTAAGTTGAGTTGTGGAGGTTGGTATTCCAATGTAAACTATTTCTATTCTGCTAGTGTTTCCCGTTTATAAGCACGGCGAGAGATAAGAATGTAGAACATAAGATCACGGGAAAAGGCATGTGTTCAGAAATCACGCCTATAAATACAGAGATTTTTTTTTAAAGAAGCTTTTTCACCATTTCTCTAAGCCAAAACTAAATTAGCAGTGATAAAGATGGCCGTTGGTGTCTGGAAAAAAAAAAAAAAAAACACTACTGGGAAAAGGGATGTGTTCAGAAAACAAGCCTATAAATACAGAGATTTTTTTTTAAAGAAGCTTTTTCACCATTTCTCTAAGCCAAAACTAAATTAGCAGTGATAAAGATGGCCGTTGGTGTCTGGAAAAAAAAAAAAAAAAACCCTACGAACTCCGATTACTTTGCTCAAGATAAAATCTAAAAATTGTCAAATTTGTAAGATGATGTATTTAACTTTTTTACTACAACCCCACCCCAGGCCTCACGATCCTGCGAATCAGTGGTCTGCTCTTAATGCTGCTGTGCCTCCATTTGAAGCGTGACCTACTCTGCCTATGTTTACAGCTGCTCTTCTTGTTTGTAGTTAGTAAAAGTGCGTACCTTAAGTGTAGTGACAACAGATGTTGGTTGTTTTTTTTTTTTTTTTTTTTTTTTTTTTTTTTCCTTTGTCTCATCATCACCAAATCAAGTTAAAGTTCAGAAAGTTGTCTTTTCAAACGATTAATTAGATTGTGACCTATAACTGCGCATTGTCAACTGGACACAGTTGTTCCGACCGTACTAAGATTTTAAAAGAAAATCATCTTCTCAAAGGAGACCTTAACAGCCAGCAAGGCTAAACCCTGTAATATCTATACAAATAATTCGCCAGCAAAGGTCAAACACCACCACGCAGGCTATATATATATATATATATATATATATATATATATATATATAATATATATATGTAATATATAAAATAAATAGAGAGATAGATAGATAGATAGATAGATAGATAGATAGATAGATATATAGAGAGATAGAGAGATAGATAGATAGATAGA